TGGACTGGTTTTGGGATGCGGTGGGGGGAGGGGAGATTTTGAAACTTGTGAAATCCACATTGATACCATTGGGCTGCAGGGTTCCCAAGCGGAATATGAGTTGCTGTTCCTGCAACCTTCGGGTGGCATCGTTGTGGTTCCTGCAACCTTCGGGTGGCACCGATAGTACCTCTTTGCAGGAGGTGCAGTTATTCTTTCACCAAATATATCAACAGAGTCAAAATGCCAATGTTTGGAATTAAACTACTTAAAACTGTCTATGTGCGAACATGGTCCAGAAGTACATATTTTTGTTAGGGCTCTGACTATTTTATTTGTTTAAAACTATAGAATGTGAAAGTCTAGTTGGAAACTGTTTTCTTCTAGGTTGAAAAGACAGGTTTGGATCCAGTGAGCGCAATATTATTTGATGAATGTACAGTCTCTTTGCCAATAAAATTTTACTGTCTGTTATTGGGAAAAATAACAGCATGTTATCTATGAACCTTGTTCCATGATGGTCACTGTTTAGGATTCCTGTTTTGAAGCGATATTCTAACTACTCCTTTCTTCAATTTATTTGTGTGGTGGCATTCTCTTTCGGGTTAGATTGTGTAGACGCTTGATATGAACTGTTAGCTTCATCTGTTGAAACAACATTGATGTCAAATGATTAAAATAATACATCTTTGCAAAAACATCAAATCTAGTGAATTTTCTTGATTAACATCAAAAATAACTTTTGAGTAATAAACTGCATTAAATAATTGTCCCTGCTATTTGCCACACTTGACAAATCCACCATTTCATTGTTTCTTTCCATGCCAATCCCTATCCTACTGTCTAAACCCTCCTGTGCTATCTCCAACTATTTGTTGCCAACCATATTCATTCCACCAATCTCATCCATTCCTCACAACACAATCTCTTCAGCCAGGATAACTTTGTTACTGGGCTCTGCTTTCCTTCTGCTGTTTTTGAGCTCCCCACCTTTGGTGTCACCAACTGTTGGTAGCCACATGCGTGTCATGAGGTCTAGTTCTCTGCTTTGCTAATGTGCCTTTGTGTGTGCCAGTTACTGCCCAGCAAATAGACCTACCGAGAAGTGCACCCTTCAGCTGCTGAATCATAATCATATACATTGACAAAAACTGAGTTTAACTGCAGATTTTGATATGAAAAAAATGATCTACTTTATATTAGACTAAGTATTTACCAAGTATCAAAGTGTATATCTCATTCTGCACGTAAATTCATTTTGCAGATAAACTTTGTGTGTTCAGTGCCAAACTGACTATCAGAGTGCCATCAGTTCTTGAAACTCTGTCCTATAACTTTAATCATGAAGTGCATGGATTCATGATGCTATGAGAATTAACTCATTTCTGTCAGGCCGTTATGGAAAAATAGTTTCCACCTAGCAGCTCCTTTTTCTCCCTCTCCTACAGAGAAGAAATTTTAGTTACTTGGGCTGTAATTGAGCAAGGACCAGATATGACACTGGCAAATTCCAGCAAATATGTTGCCTTGTTATCATAAACCTTTTGCCCCAAGTACAATATGGTGCATGAAAAAGGAAGGGAATTTGAAAAATAAACATTGAGGTAAAAATTATTGGATTTCGGCCTGATGCAATTTTTTTCAGGTTCAATGATTCTGAATAACTGTAAAATAATCCCATTAAGATGTATGGTTTGCAAGCCAGGGCCTGTCTTTTTAGCCCTTGAAAGCTGAATGCAAGATCTCTCTCAAAAGTACTGGGCAGGAATCTTCAGTTTAAGTTGTCCTTGTTAACTCTGAATAGTATCTTATATCACTTATTTTATTTTGAGGCATCATTGAAAAATAACAATGTCTGGTAATTATATTAAAACTGGCTAGAATGAGTTTGATAGCAAACCTTTCATCTGTCTGAAGGACAAGAGAAATTCCTGTCCTCTTGTTCACTTTTAGCTCTAGTGTTCAATATTAACATCAGACCAGTGGTGGTGATAAATCTCCTCAAATTTCAGACATAAATGCTGTAATTTGACATGCACAATGTTTTCATTTTCCTTCCTTTGCCCCGTTTATCTTGTTTCAATTAGCCTTTAAAAAAGGGTATTTATTTCTGTTTCTGCTCTCATCATGTATTTTGACAGGAGGAACACCTCTTTTGAAGTAATTGTGAAAAGCTAGTAGAAAACAGTTGTTTTATTTCTTTGTTTTTTCTTTACAAATATAATTTCTTCTTTCTTCATCCTGGACCTGTTTGTCTTTAGTTTTTGCCATTTATGTGGATTTTCAATGTAGGATCAAAGCTTCCCATTGGATGTTGGTAGATGTTGCTAAAGACTTCCGTCCTGTTTAATTTGTCTTGAAAACACGTCTTTTTATGGGATTTGAAACAAAGGGAAAAATGATGCTAGATGAAGAACAGCAGATGTTTTTGGGCTATGATTCCATCGTGGAAGTGACAGAACTCCAAGCAATATGATGGTTGTTAAACTTTGACTTATTTCTGATATCAAACAGGAAGAGTCCCTGGAACCAGACAAGTAAATGTGTTGGTAGCAAACAAAAAAGTTTTCCTTGGATGAGTAAGTTTCACATCATATTGTGGGTTAATAGAAACGATGTTGGGTATGAGTGCACCATATTCCCACTGCCTAGATGATTGGTTATTCACAAATGTTTGTTTCCAAAATTGAACCTAAAACCACACTGTTCTCAAGTTTAAGTTGTGATTTGATCTGATTATCACTTTAAAAATAGACAGTAACCACAATCCTAAAACCACTAATGATGACTATATGGTAGAAAATGTGACAGTTAGGGAGATGGAATACAGGCCTACTGAATACATTATTTGGAGAAATGACATCAGATACTATTTAGAAGAGTTGATGTGTTTGTATAGAGTGGGCAGGGATTACAAAACCATAATTGAAGGGCTTAGGTGATTCTCAGAGCAGTTTATAGTTGGTTGCCTTTAGAGTAACAACCAAGACTAGAGTTAATCACTAGGAAATGCAGAGAAGCTTAAAATATCTGATGACTAAATCCAACTGGGTGTTTAATAAGTGCTGTATGTTCTAAATGATGAAATGTTCTGTTTATTTAAGGTGTGCCTCAGTTCAGTTGTGTGCCATTCTTCTTAGTGTTGTGTGTAAACTGTAAAGCATGTTAGTTCTGTTAGCTGTTCTAACATATTCTTATGGAAAGTATTACTTTTTCTCCAACTTCTAATGACAAATGTTTAGATGTTAAAGAGAATTGGTTTTAGAAACTTATTTGCTGCTACTCTTCAAACCAGAATGGAAAGTTAAGCATTTCCATATGAATTTATCATATGGAATTGCAGCTGTTCAGATGCACATGACAGAGTGCACCTACACTTCACTGTCACTATAAAGAAAAAACAAACTCTATATATTTCACAGTTTATTTCACTTGTAACATTAAAAGATTATGCATTCTTGGAAGCGACCTCACTGCTTTCAATTAAGTAATTACATTCTTGCCAACTTTTACATACCCTAGTCACTAACATTCATGCTTTTGTTTTTTAAAAAAAATGACACTTTTGTTCAGAAGTATAGTTTATTCTGTACTCTAATTATATTTGCTCCCCTTTAGCATTATTATGGTAAAAGTGAAATTGCCATTGTCCTATTAGATCATAGGGCTGACTTGCTTGCTTTTGAATGCATATTGGACACTTCATTGAGCACCTGCATATGGTGGACATTTCATATCTGTCAGGATGAATTTTATAAGTCTTGTCCCCTCTCTTTTTCCTGTATCATCTAAATTTTATTAAATAGCAACTTCATACTGTTTGCCAACAGTTGGCTTGATACGCATTTTGGAAATATTCAGGAAATTGATTGATTAAATATTGGAGCACCATTGTATAGTCTACATACAAGCAAAACAAACAGGTTAATTGTTCTTTCTTCTTACTGCTGTTTGTGCAATGTTGCTGTCATATAACTGCTTCTGTCTTTGCATAAGTAACAATGCTTTTGTGAATTGTTTTGAGAAATCTGACATAAGGTAATTCATTAAATCAGCTTTTTCTGTGCTGTGTAGAGCTCAAATTTGTATTTTTTTATTTACATAGATTTTGTACTTAATTTGTCATACCCTTGTGAAAGGTAAATAAATCTCTAATTGTACAGCATTTTACAAAGGTACACCTTGAAATAATTGGAAGGCAAGTATTTATGTCAGATAAGATTTTTTAAGAGTATTTTTAACTTTTCTAAATGCTGGAGATTTGGAGATTTGAATTTGTGAATAGATATTGTGACCCTTGGAAATGGGCATACATCGATGTCTCTGAGTAAACTGATCTACACATACTGTGATACTCTGCAGATCATCATTACTTAATGGCCAAAAATTGCGCTGTTGATCAGTTTTTCACCTTGCAATTCAATGAACGCTAAGGACAATTTGAGGCTGCCTTGTGGAAAAACAAATTTTCTACAGATGGATTTTGTTTAGTATTTTCTATTGTTTGAATGGCAAACTCCATAAATAGTTAGAAATTCTAATGTTTCAAAATCGGAACTTATTTTGCTTAGTCAGGTGGCATTGCTGACCCTTAAACTTTCAAAATTCCAAGATACTTACAATCTTTGCACACTAGGTTAAAATATTCTAATGGAAGAACCCAACACAACATTGCATCAAGTCCTGAACCATTTATATGGGCCACAACTTTGTCAACATCAGTTCTTTTGTTTTGGATTGTAATTATAGGTGAAATAATATTTGTGTGAGCTATTTTTGATTCAAAGTGTGAACACTATTATGTAATTGGAAGGTAAGTGTGCACTGTTGTATACTAATTGTTGAATATTAATATGTTCAATAAATTAGTTTTATGCACTGTGGTAGTTAAGAATACAGCTAAAATTCACCATATTAGTTTAAAGCATGTTATCAACGTAAGCCTTGAACAGTTTTGAGATTCTTGATCTTCTAGGATACAATTCTTTTTTTGTTGTGTGTTTTGGTTGCTCCATTCTTTGTCTGAGATTATGGAGAGCTAGTTGTCTCTCCATCAATTAAGAAACAGTCTCATAAATGATATGTAAGGGTGATGTAGATTGTATTTGAGGGAATCTTTCTCGAGGAGAATCTCCTGGTCTGGGCTCAGCAGTTCACCCACAGATGCAATAGGGAGGAACTGAGGAGTGAGACCTGCCTTTGTGATCAGTAGACTGGGCATGCACTTTGAGGTGGGTCTGGCTGTGTAAATGATAAATAACAGTTAATATTTAATTATATTTTATGTTTAATGCACAGCATGGATATTCTGACTTGCACAACAAAAATGTGCAGCATAGAAAAATAATGGAGGCTGTTATCTTAGAAATGTCTGTCAATTTCTTTATTTACTGATTCTTTTGACTTCTGTGTAAACTTTGAAGGCTTTGTTCTGTTGATATTGTGTGGTTGATTTTAGAACTGTCACTTCATTCTGTATATGATGTTTTAGGAATTGCGCTATATTTTTTAAAACATTTTTTTTCCCCCAGATTGATTATACGGGCATTGAACCAAATTCTCCCTGTAATAGCTGTGCTATGAATGGTACGTGGAATACTACGTGTACATGTGAAGTTCCTTTCCAGCTGGATCAGCCATTTGAGGTATGAATTAATTACCTAAATATAATTAGATATAAAAACATAGCTGCTACATTTAGGACCCTTACCTGCTATGGTTAGGTTGTTGTGAGACAAACAGCTGTTGCACCTCTCAACTGATATGTTCTCTGATGTGATGTGAATGCACATGGTGGTTAAAACAAAGGGGGCATTGTATTTTCATGTTTTTATGGTAGGTTGTGCTGCTTGACGTGCTGTTGTTGCTCTTGACAATGGTGCCTGCTGCCTATCCAATGAGGGCTACCTAATCCATACATGCCAGATTTACAATGGCTGCTAGCATCTAGCCTCCTGACAGTATAAGGGGTAAAAAGATTCTCTTTAGGGTGAAGCTGGCTGAAAGATGATATGCCTGGAGATGAAAGCACAGAATTAAATAAAATTATGTGATGGATTTGGTAATCTGCTGTCTGAAGCAGACAGCTTTACATTGCTGTACGGTACTGAATATGATTTAGCAGTTTAGTGGAATGTCTAGGGGTTGGCCTGTTATTGGGGGCTGGGGTTCTTTTCATTTGGTTCCAGCTATACCTGCAAGTCATTGTACTTTAAGATAGTCATGGTTGGAGCATACAATGGAAACTCATCAATACCCTGCAATAAGGTCCAATGCATCACCTTGTTAAGTCCCAGCAGCAGTCTGTTTTCCCAGACTGCATCAAAGTTATCAGGGCTTGGGTCTCTTGGTTGCACCTCTGGAGTGGCAGGGCAATGCATGGAAGGGAGAGGTAAGTCTTTGCATGTTATTTCGACAAATGTGCACTTTGTTAGTATTGGCTTTGAAGAGTTTTAAATGTAAGAGGGGAGAATTTTACATTTTTAAGTTAAGTTTAGGAACATTGGAACAACATATTAGAGATGTGGTCTCACCAATACTGTATGAAGTTATAATCTCCTTATTTAAGGAAGGATGTAAGTGCTTTGGTGGATCGGAGGAGGTTTACAGCATTTGATTCCTGGAATGAGTGAGTTGTCTATTAGCAATGTTCCCTGAAATTATTTTTGTTGCTGTGTGGACCTGCATGGAGGTCGTGCATAGTGACAAGGTCTGGAATTGAAAGCCAGTGTATTGGTCTCCCTGTTGGCATGTGTGGAACCACCAAGTGGCCACTCAGCCATGCAGCTTAGAGGCTATATTGCTGATGAAAATAGATTGGACAGGCTGAGTTCATTTCTGCAGGAGTTTATAAGGGTGAGAGTTGACTTGGTTGAAATGTACAAAATCACATCTGGCCTTGACAAGTTGAACGTGAAAGGGTTGTTTGTTTTTGTGTCAGTCCAGAACTGGGGATTGTTATAAAATTCAGGATTGCCCTTTCGTGACAAAAGAGGACTTTTTTTTTTTTTGCTGAGGTTTGTAGGGCTTTGGAACACTGTCTCAGAAGGTTGTGTCATTAAATAGTTTTAAGGCAGGAGACAGATTTCTGTTAGGCAAGGGAATGGAAGACTCAATGGGAACGTGGATTATAGAAACCTAGAAACTTAGGAACATTTGGCCCTTTTGAGTCTGCTATGCTGTTCCACATGATCACGAGTATGGGTCTGGATGGGATGCTCTTGAGGGTTGGTGTGGACTTATTGGGCCAAAGGGCCTGTTTCCACACTGTAGGGATTCTATGATCTATGATCTTCTATGATCTATCTTTGCATCCTCCTGAAAAGTCACCTTCCCACTCAGCTTTGTGTCATCTGGAGATATTATCTTTAGTTCTCTCACCTAAATCATGAATATATATTGTAAACAGCTGGGAATCAAGCACTGATCTTTGTGGTACCCCACTGGCTACCACTTAGAAAATGACCTGTTTTAGTTTCCTGTCTGCAAGTAAGTTTTCTATCCATGTCAGTACACTGACCCCAGTCCTATATGCTTCAATTTAACATGCAAATCTCTTACGTTGGAACTTATCAAACAACTTCTGAAAGTCCAAGTAAACCACATCCACATGTTCTCCCAATCAATTCTACTAGTTAATCCTTGAAAAATTCCAATAGATTCATCAGGCGTGATTTCGTTTTCGTAAATCCATGCTGGCTCAGTCCAGTCCTTTTACTGTTTTCCATGTTATTAAATCTTATTAGAATGGACTCCCAGCATTTTCCCTACTCCCGATATCAGGCTAACCGGTCTATAATTCTGTTTTCTGTCTATCTCCATTTTGAAATAGTGGGGTTACAATAGCTACCCTCCAAACCATTTGGAACTATTCCAGAGTGTATAAAATCTTGAAAGATGATCACCAATGCATCCGCTATTTCTCGGGCCAATTTCTATAAGTCCTCTAGAATGTAGATTGTTAGGCCTTGGGGATTTGTTGGCTTTTAATCCCATCAATTTCTCCAACACCATTTCTCTATTAATACTGATTTCCCTCAATTCCTCTCTCATTATACCATGCATTACCCAACATTTTTGAGATGTTATTTGTGTCCTCCTTTGTGACAAAATCAGAATATATTTAATTGGTCTGTCAACTCTTTCTTCCCCATTATAACGTCCCTGTTTCTGTTTGTAAAGGACCTACATTTGACTTCACTACTGGTTTTTCTCTTCACATATCTACAATAGTTTTATAATCAGTTTGTAAACTCCCTGCAAGCTTACTCTTGTACCTTTTCTCCCCCTCTCTCTTAGTCCATTCCTTGGTCCTCCTTTGCTAAAATCTAAACTGATCCTCAAGTTTGCTGGCCTTTTTGGCCAATTTGTATGGCCCTTCCTTTGATCAAATAGTTAATGTTAGCCATAGCCAGGCCACCCCTCTTCTTTTACCTTTGTGTCAGGCAGGAATGACTAATCGTTGCAGACCCTTCATTCACTCTTTAAATGTTTACCATTGTCTATTCACCATTATCCCTTTAAACAGCTCTGTCCAATTTATCATAGCTGGCTTGCATGTCATTCCATCGTAGTTTCCTTGCTTTAGATCAGGACCTTAGTTTCAGAATCAAATGTGTCGCTCTCCATCTTAATGAAGAATTCTATATATTATGGTCATTCTTCCCAAGGGTCCTCGCATAGCTAGATTGCCAGTTATTCCTTTCTCACTACATAATATCCAGTCTAGAACGGCCTGTCCTCTACTTGGTTCCTTAATATTTTGATCCAGAAAACTATCCTATACACACTGCAGGAATGTCTCCTCTGTGGCATTGTAACTGATTTGGTTTGCCCAATCTATATGCAGATTAAAGTTACCACTGTATCTTTTATTGTTTTTGGCTCTAATTGCATGTTTAATGCCTTCCATAAAATTACCACTACAGTTTGGTGATCCATATACATAAAGAACCGCCATTATTGTTTTCTTCCCGTTGGTGTTCCTCAGCTCTATCCTTGCAGATTCTACATAATAGCTTTCCTCACTATTGCGTTTAATGTCCTCTTTAATCAGTAATAACACCACTCCTCCTTTTCCTCTTTTGTCTGTTCTTTCTAAATACTGAATACCCCTGGATACTCAGTTCCCATCCCTCATTACCTTGCAGCCACTGTCTCCATAATTCCAATTATAATGTATTTGTTTATATCTATTTGAAATGAAAATAACTGAGCCATGATCTCATTGAATGGTAGAGTAGGCTCAAGTGGCTGAATGTTGTACTTCTGCTCCCAATTTGTAAGTTTGTCACAGGAACGAAACATTTTAGTGTCTCAAGTCTGTTTTCCCATTCAGTGAGATTGCTGTTTTCATAACACTGAATTTTTTTTGCTAATTTTATAACTGATTTTAATAGATTGTTGTTTGCAGAACAGAATTGCAAACTTGAATTTTTTGCATGAATAAATGTTTCATAATTTCAATCCTGAGAGGTTTGGTATAATTTATGCTTTATTTCCAGTCTACTGTTTTGTTCTCCTTTTAATATCTTGAAACTTGGGATAAATTCTCAATTTCCTAATTGCCAGGGATTAAAACCTTAGTTTGCTTAATCTCTCCTTGCAGCTTAATCCTTGGTATCCAGATATCGTTGTAGTAAGTCGAGGCTGCACATGCCATGACGTCCAGGATTCAGGTTGTGTCTAATTATGATTTTGTACAGCTAAAACATGACTTCTGCCTCATGTATTCTTTCCCCGTACATATAAAGCAGCGCATCAGTATTTGGTTATTTTCTATACAATTTCATGAAATTTAAAAGGTTAATGTGTCTGGAACCCAATCCTTCTTGGACGTCTCACTCTTTACAAAATGCCCCTTTTGCCTATATTGAAATCCACTTGTTACGATTTTGCATGTTCAATTAATCTATATCTCTCTAATTTTAGCTTCCATATCCATACCTTACAATGTTGAATCTTTGTATCTTTGGAAAATTTGGATGTGTAGCCATCAGTTCCATCATCTAAATTATCAATGAATTGAATGGATAGAACATGGAACGTAGAAAGAGATCACTCATCATATTCTGCCAGTTGGAGTATCTACTCATTACTGTGTGCTTTGTTTCTTGCAAATATTTCAATTTGTTAACCAGGTAATAATTTGCCCTCTGTTCAAAGAGCTCGAACTTTAGCTGACCATCTCTTTAAAATTAAAGATTTGCTGGACAAAACCTACATTGTACAAATCCTTGCTACTTTTCTCTTAAAAATGTCAACTAATCAAAGTGTTGAGTATTTGTTTATTAAAATTTGTCCAAAGGACTTGAGCATGAAAATGTGGTAGATAACTGCCTATCCTTAATTACAGACTGTTATAACTTTATCAAAGCTTCAGTGAACTGGTCTGGAACTGATTTTCAACTGTCACCTTTTTAAAATAGTGAAGTACCATGGAAGCACCAGTCTCCAATTAAAACAACAGTTGTCTAACAATGAGAACCTTGTCGATGCCACAGCAATAAAATTCCAAAGTTCTGTTTAGTCCTGAGTGTTTGTCTGTCTTCGTTGCCATTAATTTATCAATTATTGTTGTTTTGCTTATATTATTGAGTCCCTGTCCTTGATTCAGTAATAGTTCCAATGTGAATAATGGATAATTAAGTAAGTGTTTCTTCCTGCATCATTTCTGTCCCTCAAATATAACACGCAGCAGTAGAGTGGATTAAAAATTTTAGTTGTGAAAAATCTTTAGCTTTATGTATTATTTTATTTTTGTTGCACAGAAATTTAATTGGCTTTCCTCATTTTTTAGCATGCTGGTAAAGACAGTTTTAGAATATTTGCAAGGCTGTTTTGAGTGGGCAATTTGCCTTCGTGGTTACATAATCATGTTCAACATCTTTGGTTAAAGATTTGGTTGAGAGAGTTCATTTGCTTTTAGTTGAAATAAAGATTGAATGGATTTAATATAGATGTTAGACTCTTAACTTGGATTCTAAACACAGACTACAGATCATTGGTCAAATTTTAAATGAAAGTAGCTATTAGAGGTTTGAGGGTTTTAAACACTCGACTTCCTTTGGCTGGTGGGAAAGGAAGTGTTTGTGGATGATTGCCTGTGTTGAATTTTGGTTAATTGTGCAGTAGAAGATCAGGATTATTCATGCCCTTCAAAATAATTTTGTGGTAGTTCACAATTTTGGCAGCAGAGAGCAAGATTATGAAGTCTGTTGAATGCTGGATCTGGGGCCTGGTGCTGTACTGTTTAAATTATGGTTACGTTTTCTTCCTTCTGATTGATGAGAATGACAGGTGTAGGAGACAGTGATGCGCTTTGCTTCTTAGAACAAAGATACCGTGAAAGAATGCTGAAGTAGGTTATTAGTATGATGCAATATTGCTTATTTATACTTTGCAATAGTCAGGATCTTTTGTTTTCATTGAAAATATTTATGCAGCAGTTTGCACAAGATGACATTAGAAACAGTAGTATGAAAAAAATAGTTTGAACTAGTTTATTGAAACTTTTCAGTGATAAACATGTCTATACTCTAGACCCATGAGCATTCAGGAATAACATAAAATTAACATTTATTTTTAAAGAGACGATGTAATGATTGTTGAGGTTCATTAACACATTGTGACATCTTTAAAGTCTTGTCTGTTAGGATCAGAAGCGCCGACGTGATTTTAATGACCTACAAGGTAGTGGAAATCAGATGCTCTTTTTTTTGTTGTTGCAGTAACTTTTAAAATTAAACAGTATGAGACAGCAATAGGAAGTGGCTCTATGCAATAAATCCAGTGGAGTAATCAAGCCAATTCTGTTTCTGTCTTGTAGGGCTCCCATTATGCCATGCGGTGCTCTTGATGGCATTAGATGTTCATAGCCAGATAGGAACATTAAGTCTGACTGGAAATTGTACATGCTGGAAACATGACATTATACAACTTGCTGTGTCAAAATTATAACAATTTTTTTTAAAAATTGTTATATCTGGCAAAAGGGACAAGGGTCTCCACAGAATTGTTTTTAAACCTAACTCAGTTACTGAAAAGTAGGAGGAGAGGCAATAATATTAGTCTTGGAAGTGTCCCAGGTGAAGCTCAACCATCTTTTCATTGTAAGTTATTTTGTTGGTCACCGCAAAAACTTCTTATACTATACCTATATACTAAATAAAGATGGATTGTGTTCACCTTGATGGTGATTGTGTTAGCAAGCTTGTACAATGTCTTACAGAAACTTTCCTAAAAATGCAAGTAGCTTTCTGTTCAAAATTTCTAATTGAACCTTGTTTAAACTTAATATATTTTGCAGGGAAACGTTTTCATGTATTATGGATTATCAAATTTCTATCAGAACCACAGGCGATATGTCAAATCAAGAGATGACAGTCAGCTTAATGGTGATAAGGCTTCTTTAAAAGTAAGTGGAAGTTCTTTTGGAATAATAATTTTAGCAGCTGAGTGTTGAGAATGCAACTTTGTTTTAACCAGCACTTATAAACTGGCGCTCTTGATAAACAGGCAAAATTATATGCTTCAAATACTGTGAGATTTGCTGTATTGTCCAATGATCATAGCTTTTAAAATTTATTTACCTCTGTTGTTCAGTCAAATAGCTACATGGAATATAAACAGTTAATTCACTTTTGAGTTAATTTCTCCTCAAATACCACAATATACCGCAATGTCAGAGTAGTCAGGTGAGGATGCAAGTGAGAAGGCTCACTGCTGGTAAGTTTTATTTAAGGCAAGTTGCATCATTTTTAAGTGATTTATGCTGTAAATAAAGTATAACAGTGACGTGTATACCCACTGTATTACATTTATATTACTTAGTGTGTGTTTTTACATTGTTTGCGGGGACCTCTTGATTATTTAGAATAATTGATCAATCAGCACATGCCTGGTCCCATAGCTGCTGGATAATTTAACTGTGCAGTCAATTTCATTCTCTAAGTAGCACAGTATTAAAAGCTGCAATAATGGCTCTGCTAGCATTCTAGCAAGGAACGGAACAGGGCAGTTAAGTATCTGTTTTCTCTAAAACTCTTTCCACTTCCCTTAATTTTTTTTGTTTCCTATTAGATTTATTAAATAAAGCTGCATAGAGAATACATACGTTTATTCGTTTTGACATACAAATTTCAAGTGGTGTGTTATTGGGCTGTATGTTGGGACCCCTGTTGTTTGTTTCATACATTTCAAGTTTGGATTTGAACATGGGTGGTGGGAGCAAAATTTGGAAGTTTGCAGATGACACAAGAATTGACCACGTAGTGTGCAATGTAGTGGATACTTGTAAGCTCCAAAATGATGTGGATGGGTTGGTGGTGTGAGCAGGAAAGTGGAATTCTAATTAAGTGTGAGATAATACATTAAGGGAGATCAAACACTTAAAAAGGAATGCACAATAAAAGGGAATATTCTGAAAGGGGTACATGATATGAGCGATTGGAATTTGGTTGTGAACGTCGGAAGTATGGTTAGTAAATTTGCAGACGGCACTAAAATTGGAGGTGGAGTGGACAGTGACGAAGGCTACCTCAGAGTACAATGGGATGGGCCAATGGGCTGAGGAGTGGCAGGTGAAGTTTAGATAAATGTGAGGTGCTGCATTTCGGGGGCCATTGAGCTGGGAACCTGTGTGTGTGTCTGTCCCTGGATGAAATGAGGGAGGTAGCAGACATGGAAACAATAGCTTGATGTTTGGTAGGGTTGTGGTTCAGGGGAGATAGGAGAAGATGTCAGAGAGCTGATGCTCAGCCTCCACAAGGTAGATGTCAGTACAGCAGACAACAACAGCACCACCCTATTGGCAGGCTTGATTAGAGTCAGGGTTGGATCCGAGAACACGTGGAAAAGTAACTTCAGAGGGCGATAGGTTAGAATGGGTGAGGGGAGCAGAGAAATTGAGGTGACTAATGTCATGTCGACAGCTCTCAATGGACAGGTCAACTGCAGGTAAGAGACCAGAGGGAGGGGTCAGATGGAGGGAGAGTGTTGAAGGTGGGTAAAAAAATTCTGTGGGTTGGGAGCGGACTCCAGCCCAAAGAAATAGGCACGGGGCCAAGACATTGGAAGAAGAGTTTGATGTCATGTTTTGCTTGAAATTCATTGAGGTGGGGGTGTAAAGGGATAAAACCACTTCCTTTGCTGTGTACAAATCCTTCAGCATCACAGTAGAAGGTAAGAAAGTATGGTAAATACAGGATGAGCGGTGAAGGTTAGAGGAAGGGTGAAGCCAGAGGGAAGGGGAGAGGAGGAAGATTCCGAAGGGGCGTAGATACCTCATAGAGATACCTGTGATCGCGGGTGAATTCAAAACAAAAAGGATGAAATTTCAGTTGGAATCCATGTGCAATCAGTCTGAGTTGGAGGGAGTCACTAAAGGATGAGTTGTGGCTATGAAAGTGAGTTTTGGCAAATACCATGTCAGACACTAGGAGGGAAAATGAAAATAATGATGGTGAACAAGAAGGAAGGCTCAAACAGAAATCCTGTCAGAGAGCAGAGCTGAACCTTTTCAAGATGGCTGTACCTGGAGGAGATGTGGCAATGTATTCTTAACACCAGAACAAAAAGAATTGTGGGTGCTGGAGGTCTGAAACAAAACCAGGAAGTTCTGGCAACGTTTGCAAAAAGGAAAAACAGTTAACATTTCAAGAGTTTTTTTAATCACTTTATCATCTGGTCTTATGATCTTTAAAATCTTTGTGCATATGGGACCACCAGGGACTGTGGTCTCTCTGCATATCTACACATCAAAATTCTGCTGTTCATAATATTCATATTCCAAGTTATTACATCAAAAGTGCATTGCTTCTTACTTGAACCCTGTATACCATGCTTCTTTCCATTTCATCATCGTATCTGTACTATCCTGATGTCTAATAATGATTCCCATCATAATTTATCACTTTGTATCATCTTCACCTTTTACAGATCCCTATGCTGCCGAGATCATTTATAAAACTTCTGCATAATAATTGACCCAAAATTGTTCTTTGGGAACAATCTACCACCAAGTCTGAAAAACATCCACCTGCCACCAATGTTTTCTTCTTGTCACCAAGCCGATTTTAAATTTATACTGACGTTCTTCCCGTAATTCCATAGATTTCCAAATACTGAATAAAAACCTGTGTGGTCCTTCCAGAAGTTAATGCATCCATTAAGTGTTCTAGAGACAGTAGGAACTGCACATGCTGGAGAATCTGAGATAACAAGGTGTAAAGCTAGATGAACACAGCAGGCCAACAGCATCAGAGGAGCAGGAACGCTGACTTTTCGGGCCTAGACCCCTCTTCAAAAATGATTTCTGAAGAGGGGTCTAGGCCCGAAAAGTCAGCGTTCCTGCTCCTCTGATGCTGTTGGCCTGCTGTGTTCATCTAGCTCTACACCTTGTTATCTAATTAAGTGTTATCTTGATTGACCTTCTCTTATAAAATTCAACTGGACTAGTCATTTGCAATTTTCCTTTAACAAATACATGCTGGGTCTCCTTGATCAGGGTGTTTTTTTGAATGAAAGTGTATTTTGTCTCTGAAATGGTTTCAACTTACTTTCCTGCCACTGATATCTTAACTGACTGCCCTGGGGCTTATGTCTCTCTTTCCTTGAATAGTGCTACAGCATCAGCAGCCTTCCAGTCTTTTAGCATTGTTCTGGTATCTATTGAGGACTGAAATATTGTGATCAATGCCTCTGAGTGGTTTTAGCAATCAAGGATAAATTTCTCAGTGGACTAGGTGATTTACCAACTTAAATTGTTCTTTTTAGTTTGTCTTTTCTATTGATTATCATCATGTCCATAACTTTTGTCTCTCTTTTTGTAGTATAGCGTTCACATCATAGAACCAGAATGGTTATACCACAGGAGGAAACTATTTGAATCCTTGCTGTCTCATTGCAGTACTAATTTAGCTAGACTCAATCCTGCCCTTCCCCTACAACCATGCAAATCTATTTCCTTCAAGTGCTTAATCTAATTCCCTTTTGAAAGCCACAATTAAATGTATTCTATTACCCTCTCAGGCTGTATGTTACCAAATCATCACCATTTGCTACACAAAAACTTTTTGCTCATATCTGTTCTTGTTCCTTTGCCAATTTATGCTCCCTTTTTCTTGGCCTTCTACCAGTGGTAATAGTTTTCCTCTATCAACTTCATTTGGGCTCCTTATGAGATGAATACCTCTTTGAAATCACCTGTCAACCATCTGTGTGGAATCTCCGAGCAGCTGTTGGCCATGGCAGCCTGTAGCATTCTGGCTTGTCATCTTGAGGTGGTGGGGGCCCCTGGTGGCAAAATGTCTGTGGGAAAGTTTCTACTGGATTTGGCAAGAAGGGCGTTGCATAGAATCGTCCTAAGCAATACATAGGTTACACAGTTCATGGACTTTCAGACTCCCTGCAATTTTTTGCAGCCTTGTATCTGTGTTTCTGTTTGTTGATTGCATAATATTACAGCCCCAAAAACTTCAGGGGCTTTCCTTCACATTTTGGCTGCACCTCAGTTCCATGCTCCTGATTTTTTTGGTTACCCAGCATGAAAGGGACAGGTCCTTGATCCATTCCTGGGCCTGGCCAAGTTGATCATAAACAGGTCCAGGCAGTGAGTAATTGAGGAGGTAATTCAACCAAACTGCCTGCCTGTCTTTTATGGCTATGAACATGCCTGGGTCTCCCTGGTGAGAAGTATGCAATGTTCATCAGTATGCTCGAGGTCTTCTGCCATTGGTGGGTGGCACTGAGGCTGGAGTGCATCATTAACCTCCCAAAATAGTTCTTCAATTTAAATTTGTTAAGATTTCTTTGAAGTCTTGATTTTTGTTAGTGTTCTTTTAAGTGGCTGTCGGTTAAGTTATTTTAGGACTACAGAAAAGTTTCAGCACACAGCGAGGCCATTTAGCCCATCATCTTTGCACTACTGAATAAACTAGCCACCCATTCTAATTGCAGTTACCAGCACCTGGTCTGTAGACTTGTAGGTTATGGAACTTAAGGTGCAGATCCAAGTTCCTTTTAAATGGCTGGATGTTTTTTCCTTGACTACAGAACTAGGCAGTGAATTCCAGGTACTTAATACCTCTGGGTGAAAATATTTTCCCTCTGGTCCCCTCTGATCCTTCTACCAGTCACCTTAAAATCTCTATCCCATGGTAACTGACCTCTCTAGGGGAATTAGGTCTCCCCTACCTGCTCTAACTAGGGCCCTGATTAGTTTATATACCTTGATTAAGTTGCTTCTCCACCACCTATGTTGGAAAGAAAATACCCATTCTTTCATCATACCTGTAATTTTCAGGCCCTCATAAAGTTCTTGTAAAACTCCTTTGTGCTCTCTCCAGACCAATTATGTCCTTCCTGCAATGTGGTGAACAAAACTACACAACTAAGGCTGTGGCCTAACCACTGTCTTGTATAGATCCAGCACTGCATCCAGGATTTTGAATTCAGTGCCTTGCCCAATGAAAGAAAGCATCTCCAATGCCTCCTTTACCACGTTATCTGTTGTACTGCTTTCAGGGACCTGTGGACGCAAACCCCAAGGTCTCTCGCTTCCTGTGTCCCTCTTAATATCCTCCTCTTTATTATGTATCACTGTGCTTTGTTGCTCCTCCCCAGTGTGTACGCTCATACTTCTCTGGATTGAATTCCAGAGTTTCTGCCAACTTAACCAAACCATTGATATCTTCCTGTAGTTGACAGCCATCCTGCTCACTATCAATTATCAGGCCAATTTTTGTGTTATCTGCAAATTTCCTAATCAAGCTTCCAACATTTAAGTATAAATCATTTAATATAGGTCATAAATGGCAAGAAACCCAATGCTGAGCCCTGTAGGTTTTCCATTTGCAGATACATCTGGTTTCCCGTCATTGAGCCAATTTTGGATCTAGCTTGAAACATTCCCCTATATCCCAAGGGCTTTAATTTTTCTTAAATAGTCTGCCATATGGGACCTTGTCAAATGCATTACTAAAATTTATGCAGACAACATCCACTCCACACTCTTGCTAATCCTCGTTGCTCCCTCAAAAAATTCAAAAATTTAGAAGACATGACTTTCCCTTATCAAAACTATGCTGACTATCACTGGTTAATCCTTGCCTGTCCAAGTAACGGTTAATCCTATCTCACAATATTGATTGCAATAATTTGCCCACCAGAGAGATAAGATTGACTGTCATGTAATTATTTGGCTTATTCCTAATATCCTTTATGAATAACTTATATTTGCAAAGTTTCAATCCTCTGGTACCTCGCCTGTAACAAATGAAGATTGAATCCTCCGAGCATCCGCTATTACCTCTCTGGCTTCTTTTATCCTAGATTACAATTCATCCATCCACCTTCCAAAGGTTAGGGATGATGCAGGCAAAGTACAGCAAATTTTGTTTTAACCTATGCCTGATCAACCTGCACTCTTGATAAACCGGCAAAAAAGTATATACCACAAATACTAACGCGATTTATACCATAAGTAAGGTATAACAATGATGTGTACATCCCTTGCATTATGTTTCTATTACTTTGTGTTTTTACATTGAGTTTAGGATGTGTGTTGATGTTTTCATGTAGATTTTTGGAGGGATGTGGATGTCTTGAAGCTTTGCTTGGTCAGAGTTTACCGCACTTTTATGCGTAGCTCTTGATTATCCGGAATATTTGAGCAACTGGCACACTCCTGGTCCCATAGTTACTGATTAATAGAAAGTTTGCTGTGTATAAGTATTAACCTTTAAAATATCCATAAAACATTCATGCGCACAATTTCTCTTGAGGAAAAGAGAAAAACAAATTCTCTGCTTTCTAAAGTCAAAACACTTTGGTCAAGGATTTTTCTTGAAGGTCAAATGATAAGGTGTAGAATGTTCCAGAGTTCATTGCTCTGATAAAATAAACAAAGAACTTCGGATGTTGCAAGCATGAAACAAAAACAGAAATTACTGGAGAAACCCAGCAGCATCTGTGGTGAGAAAGCAGAGTTAATGTTTCTGGTCTAGTGAAGAAGGGTCACTAAATCTGAAAAAAATTATCAATTTCTGTTTATTAGAAATTTCAGATTTTGTTGCTATGATGGTCTGGCTGGTGTGATCATGTCATTAATCATGCATAGTTGTCTCTGAAGTCTTGCAGAAATTGCCTGCTCAGGAAATTGAGCCTTAATATGCTTATTCAATCACCTGAACTCAACAAGAGAATTTCATTTCTGAACTGAAAGTGATCAGCAAGATAGTTTGTTCTTAGGCTTTCTTCCAACTGGCTTATTCTTACTGGGCTTCTTTCTCCTAGAACCAGATAAAACCAGATAAAACCAGCATCTCTTCAGGCCAGTCACTGTTCAAAATTGGCCTCAGTGAGCGTTTACAGCAAAGCGGTATCAGCAGTCATGTGATTTGCAAGCAGACTTGTTCCAAAAAAACTTACTGCCCACTGTGAACTTTCAGACCACTCAAGGAAATCCGCTTGAAGTATTTCCCCAAAGCTTGGAATAATTCAATTCTCCACAATCCTTCAAAACTTAGCTCTCCAAGCAATGTTAAATATAAAATGTCTTAGTGACACTATCCATTCCGCTCACTGTCAGTCAGCATTGAGCCAGGGAATCATATTCATTTGCCTATTATTTGCTGCCTTACCAAAGGTCGTCTTGGAATCTAGATATATTTATCTACTACATTATCTCTGACTAATCCCATCCTTTTGTACTACCCACCTGCAATTTTTGTCATAGGGTAGGAACAGGACTTTAATATCGTTGTAGATCACTTGCTATTTTGTTTTGTGTACCTTGATATTTTTATCAATCCTCTGTAACTTATCTCAAATCTCTTTGTATTCTCCACATATTATCCCTTTTTGTCCCTGCACTTAACGTTATCTTTGATTTTTCTTTTATGCTTTTATGGTGTTTCAGTAGAATTTAATATTTTTGTGTCTTAAATGGACTTTTTTTTCCAGCGTTCATGTTTCCCATTGCTGTTTTGTACCATTATTTGCCTGTTTTTACTTTCCTAGATTCTGCTGTGTTCCTCCATTGAATTTTCTGTAGTTCATCATTAATTTGTCATCTTTATTGGTCATGCTTGTGTTTTTAGGTTTCCGCTTAAATTGTAGTACATTATGAGCACTGTTGCCTTGCAGTCCCCCATATGTTTACATCTCTCCTATCTACTCTACTTCATATCCATTACTAAATTTAGTGATGAATCTTCTTTGGTTTGGCTTCCTGCAGTCAGTTTATACATTGTAGCAACCCCGTTCCCTGGTCCACTCTTGCAATATTTGTACCCTGAACCTAATTGGTCACAAGAATTTGAATTTATTATAAAATGGAAAAGAAAATGAACCTGACCTACTTCGCTTCAATGTCCATTTACAACAAATTCTGGGTGAGGCTTTTTCAGCATACAAAAATCTTTTGACTTTTCATTACCTATGGTCTTACAATATTAAATCTCTATTCTCTACCTCACTCAGGATCCCAGTAAAGAATGTGAGCCATATCGAATGTCTGATGGATTACCTATTGCCCCTTGTGGAGCTATTGCAAACAGTCTGTTTAATGGTAGGTAACCATACAAGACCTTTCACATATAATCAAATAAAAATTAGATTGTATAGTTTATATACATGTTTTGAGTTAGACAGACCTGTGAATATACATCACTTCTGTGTGTTAGAAAGAATATTACTTTGTAAAAATACTTGTTAGCCTGGTAGCACAGCATACCAAGACAACAAATATTCAGACATATTTAACCTTCATTGGAAGAAGGTCATTTAGAATGAAAGTAGAACATCAGTGAGGCTATATCCCAAATGTGCCATTCACAGGCCTGATACAGAGCAGTGGAGCAAATTGCTGGTATGCACTCTCAAGTTGAGTGTGTTGGACCATCCAGTCAAAATAATACAGAGACTATTTGATTCTTAGTTAAAATATTATGAAGATATTTAGTTACAATGTTTGTTTCAAACCATTATACCATTCAGCTACTCATTTGTTTTAAGAAATAGGCAATGACGTTCAGAATATTGACAATCAAGAAATTGTAAATAATTCAATTACTGTAGTTTTGCTGATGGGCTTAAGAAGAATGACATTCATCTTCTCTTGTCATTAGTTCTTTTCTGTTTGTGTGTCCTTTCAGTCCCATTTCATTGCACGACTTGTCAATGAATCTTGCTAATATTCTTTGTCTTATTTTCAATCAGTCACTCCTGTTCGACATATTCTGTGTCTGTGTTACTGATTTGTATATTTGAAATATTTTTAAGTGGTAAAAGAGGAATACATACTGTTTTTCCAAAACAAAATACTACAGAGACTGAAAATCTGATATAAAATAAGTACTACAAATATTCAGCATGTCAGGCAACTCTTTTGAAGAGCATGGGAAAGTTAATGGGGGGGGCGGTGGTGGCAGCGGCGGTGGTAGATATCCAAACACAATGGGTGGTTTGGGTTGAAGTTTTAAAATCAGACCCTAACTCCAATACTTCCACTTTCACTTGAGATGGAAGGTTAGTCAGATAATTAAACTATTCTAAGGGTTTTCTGAACATCTAGGAACTCGGCAAACAAAGACTGCTGATCCGGGAGGTACAGCACAAATGCTTGTTCATTCACAGCAGGATTCAGTGTGCCTGCCTGAAAAGCCATTGGCAACTGGGAAGCTCCCCGTCTATCACAGAGGCTTCAATGCCATCTGCTATGTCCCCACAAACTTCTGAGTCTCCCACCTCATCTCTCTTACTCTCTATCTCTCTCTGTGCCTTACACCTTACGCCGCCCCTTTGGCTCGCCTTCAAAAACCTCTGAATCCTTTTCTCCCAACACCACCTCCAACCAAGTCTTTGAAATTCCTCACATTTAATGTGACCTACCTTACCCTATGGTCTCTACCAAATGCTTCCCGTCTAAAAACAGCTTGTTAGAAATCCTGACATCTAGATTCCCAGTGCCGTATCCTAACAGTCCCCAACACCCACCACCAAAATGTCAGGTCCATGATCAGAAAAGTTAATTCCTGTTTCCCTCTCCTGAGATGGTGCCTGACCTACTAAATATTTCTAGCATATTTTGTTGTAATTGCATACTATTTTGTGATGGTACAATCCATTTGAATACTCTTGTTCATTATACAAGAAAATAGACAAAAATCCAGGTAAGTGGCCACAGCAAGGATCTGGAATGGGTATAAGAATGTTGGTATAGGATGTAGAGAGACCACCTTGCAGATGCTATAATATGTATAAGTATAGGAGAGCACAAGATCAATACATTGGTGGTTCCTCATATATAATGAGTACCGGGGGGACAATCCAGGCCTGGGAAGGAATACAACAGAGATGTGGAAATAGGTTGGAAAAAGAGCTGAGCTGGAGAACTGGGAGAGATTGGTACAGTATCTTTTAGCTGAGTCCTTAAAATTGGTGGGTTTGGGCAGGGTGGGGGGGAAGAGAAAGAGAATACGAGTTTTGTGGAGTGAATAAAACACTTTTCTTTTTAAATAGGATTAATGGGCTGGAAAGCAAATAGTTCAAAAAAAAAGATTTTATTATATGATTCACTAGGGCCATTGTTCAGATCAGATTGCTCTATGATGGCAAACAGTATATGTGAATCAATAGATAATGCTCCAGTCACACTAGAGTGGATCAGTATCATCAGTTGTGTACGATTTATAGGCTACCAAATTGTTTAATTGTGTAGATCTAATTTGATTTCCTCCTCACTTTTCTTTGTTGAATATTTTGACTATTGTTGAATGATCTAGTCGGTGTGAACGAGTTGGACCGAAGGGTCTGTATGACTCTATGATCTCTGGCATCTTACTATGGTGACCGTTGTTGATTCATGGGACAGACTGCATGGCAAATCTTGCTGAAAGTTTGACAAATGGCATCACCGTGAAGTCCAACTTCCAGCAAGGATCACTTTCAAACATCCATAATTCTTAGCTGACTTTTTTTCTTATTTTGATGTCTAAGGGCAGCAGCAGTGTTCACTCCACAACCCCAGTACCTGCTCATGGTTGAGCAAATAATCTACATAGCCTGATTGATCTTTTCTACAACCTGCATTTAGCCACTGAGTTATTGAGAGCAAGCTTTGTCTTGTCTTTATTCCATATTGTGTGTTTTCAAAATTTCTCATGAAATAAATGTGAATTGGCTTGTGTCGTGTTCTCTATCTCTTCCCCCTCTCTCTCTCCTTTACCCTGCAATGCACCCACACCCAACATGCCTGCCAGGTATTTGAACTGATACACCAGCTGCCTACAGTTACATTAAACTTTGAGAAACATCTGTCAATTTTTTTGAAGTATAATTCTTGTGTCTTTGATTTTTCATTTAGATACTTTAGTACTGTACTACATAGATAACGGCACTCGAACTGAGATTCCATTGATTAAAAAAGGCATTGCGTGGTGGACAGACAAGAATGTCAAGTTCAGAAACCCAACTGGGGATTCCAATTTATCAACCATTTTTAAAGGTAACTCCATTTCAACACTGGGTATATTTTTCAATTTGTATGAAGTTTGTTTTTGTGTAAATTCTACACTGGAAATTATCCCAAGTTAGTTAAAAATGAAAATTGATTGTGTCCCTGTTTTCTTGAATACCTTAAATATATTAATTGCAAAACTATCTTTGAGAACAACTGTATGAGTCACCTATAATTAAGAAATTGTGTAGAGTTGTAACAGTACAGTGGCAAGCATACCTTTTTCCAAGTTTGAATCTGATGGGATATATTTTGGTCTCTGACAGTAAATTAATTGGATTTAATCGAGATTTTATTGGGGTGAATATACTGTGCAAACAGGTCTGCTGAATAGAAAAATTAGCATTAGGTTAGCAAATATGTGAAACAGAAGTACTACACTAATACATTAAGGGATGTTCTTCTGAGTGTGGAAATTGCACCATCTATTGATTTGCTTGAAATGCTGGACTGAGAGTAACATGGATCTTGCAGTTGCTCCTAAGATTGTAAGCTTACTTCTAGATTTCTTATCGTTATTACATATCAGTAGATATGAAAGATTTAGATGAAAATATAGAAGGCATGGTTAGTAAGTTTGTGGATGATACCAAAATTGGTAGTATATTGGACAGTGAAGACGGCTATCTATGATTACAAAGAGATCTTGATCAATCGGGTTGAGAAGTGGCAGGTGGAGTTTAATTTGGATAAATGCAAGGTATTGGATTTTGGTAAAACAAACTTACACAATTAACAGTAGGGACTTGGGTGCTGTTATAGAACAAAGAAACCTAGCAGTTCAGGTAGATAATCCTTTGAAGTTTGCGTCACATGTACACGAGGTGGTTAAGAAAGAATTTTGCACATTTGCCTTCATTGCTCAGACCTTTAAGTATATAAGTTGGGATGTTATATTGAGTTTGTATAGGACGTTGGTGAGGCCTCTTTTGGAGTACTGTGTCCAGTTCTAGTCGCCTGTTACAGAAAGGATATTATGAAGCTGGAGTGGGTTCAGAAGAGATTTACCAGGATGTTGCTGGGAATGGAGGGTTTGAGTTATAAAGAGAGGCTGGATAGACTGGGACTTTCTTCAGTGGAACGTAGGAGGTTAGGGGTGACCTTAGGGATTTATAAAATCATGAGGGGTATAGATAAGGTGAATAGCAAAAGTCTTTTCCCTACGGTTGGGGATTTCGAGATAAAGGGGCATATTTTTAAAGTGAGAAGAAAGATTTAAAAAAGGCATCAGGGACAACTTTTTTTTTTTACAGGGTGGTTCATGTATGGAATGAATTTCCAGAAGAAGTGGTGGATGCGGGTACAATTACAACATTTAAAAGACATTTAGATAAGTACACGCATAAGAAGTGTTTGAAGGGATATGGGCCAAGTGCAAGTAGGTGGGACCAGTTCAGTTTGGAATTATGGTTGGTATGGACTGGTTGGACCGAAGAGTCTGTTCCATGCTGTATGACTCTGTGACCAGTTGTCTAATGCATATTGCAGTAGGGTTGAATGACTGGAGAAATATGGGCTGTCTAGTCTTGAAAGGAATTGAATAAAAGTTGATTTTCTCCTTTAATAAGTCACCGGTAAGGTTGCCATAGTGCTACCGATACGGCTGGCATTTCATTAGAGAGAGAGAGAGAGAGGAAGAGAGATAACTGATGGTTTAACCTGAGGGTCACCATGCCTTGGGTGAGGAGAGAAGTTGAGAAGGAAAATCCTTCATGGTAACCTCAGCCAGTGTGGGAATTAAACCCACAGTCACTGTGCATTGCAAACCAGCTGTTCAGGCAACTGAGCTAACCAATCCCAGAATTAATGAGTAGAGAAGTTCTGGAACACTATTTCTACCCAAGCAATGACAGTAAGGCGAGTTTCATGGGTTCAAGTTGAAACAAATTTCTTTAGTGTGTGACCAACATGAGGACTGAGTTTAAAAACAGAAAACGCTGCAGAAAATGAGCAAGCCTAGCAGCATCCGTGAGAGAATGAAAGAGTTGAAGTTTGAGTCCAGTGTTGTTACTCTTCAGAACTGGCTGGACTTCCTATTAGAATATTAAAATAGATATAGAAATTGTAAAATCAGTTTCAAAATAAAAAAAAGGATTCTGAATAGATAAACTTCAGGTTAAAATCAGAATTTTTTCATCTATAACTATCTCAAAATCTTTGAATTAAAAGAGACAAAAATTTCCAAAAGGTCCTTTTAAAATTCCAAAAAGTTATCTAGTGAAACTGGTTAAGTTCAAGATAATATCAAGCTATATTTTGGGTTACATTACAGGCACCACAAAACCTGTGAACTGGCCAAAGCCAGTGTATGAACTTGATCCAACTGATAAGGACAACAATGGATTCATCAATGAAGATTTCATTGTGTGGATGCGTACTGCAGCTTTACCTACCTTTCGCAAACTGTACCGGCTTATTGAAAAAAAGGATTCGTTGACTGCTACGTTGCAACAGGGAAATTATACATTGCATGTTACATACAGTATCCTTTTTACTGAAGGTGCTAAAAACTAACTAAAGACTCGTCCCTGCCTCCCTAACCTGTTCTTCCTCCCACCTATCCCCTCCTCCCACCCCAAGCCGCACCTCCATCTCCTACCGACCAACCTCATCCCGCCCCCTT